TTATAAGAGGAAAACATTATACACATGGCTTTAATGGACTGTAATAGCTTCGCATATTTGCTCCTCTTTTTTCCCAACTGTTTTCCGAAGGACAGATAACTGTATGTTTATGTGCAAACATTTGGAAGGTCCTGTTTGTAGGATTGGCACCAGCACTATTTTGTCCATGTCTGTCTCTGCCATGTAAACAAACACACAATCTTACATCAGCCCAAATGTCTCTTTTCTCTGTCAACACTGTCCCAAGTCGTGTTCCAAATGTCTTCAAGTAGTTTGCAGTGCCCTAAAAAGGAATATTCATCATCTTGCCAAGATGCAAGTTACAAGCTGTTATTATTGATACACAAATATGCAACAAGTGAGACCTCCTTTCATTATTCAGTTTTCCTTAAATCTGACTTTCTTTTATTTCAGAAGTTATATATTGGCCTTCATTTATTTGTCATTAGCCTTAAATATATAAATTACTTATCGTCATGCACTGTGTTGGAGTACAATAGTAACTGTCTTGTGATGTCATGTTACTAAGTGAACATAACAGTTTTTAAGTTGGAATAATAACCCTAACCAGCACTCTGAACGTACTTGCTAAATGATTAGGAATTTTTAGTAACACAGTACAAACAGAAAGATTTTAAGCAAATTGTTATTTGATGAGCTCTTCAAAAAATGTACATTTAGAAGGTAAACAAGCTTAAATGGAACCTTTTTCTTTCAGGTTCCAGTGAGAATGAGCTAAAACTTCACAACTGCTTACATACTGATACCAATGAGAACACTTTAAAGGGGGAAACATAGTGATGAGTCCAATAAGAGCTCTCTACTGCCTGCAGCTTTCTGAAATAAGCAAATTTTAATGTTCAGGAGTAATGCTTAATTATCCATACATGGCCATTTACTAGTGCATTGCCACAGGGCTCCAGCTTCACAACACTCCACATTCTAACAGAAGACAGCATTATTGCATGCAGTCAGAATTATTCACTGCATTACCCACGATTCATAGCATGTTTAACACAAGCAATTTCATGCATATGGATACAGTGGGTCTTAGCAGGGGAGCTCCTGATTGCTTTTAAACTAATTTCACAATCATTAGTTTTGGTGGTGCTGTGAGTCTCAGTGTATTAACCAGATTTGAGGAAAAAAATGTCAAGTTGCTTTGTGTAGGAAAATGTAAAGATGAAAGACTAATCTATGTCAAGCTCTGTATTAAGAGGAGAGACTTTGACATTTAAGCAGTTTGAGGATGTCTAATGTTTTCTGAACATGAAAGAAAAATACCAAGCAAAATATAATATTGCTTATCGTTTTTCTGTGACTCAAGAGGCCCATACAAAACAAGATAGGTTTTCCATAAATACAAGGCTAAGAGCTCAAGGTGCAGGCCAAACAGAAAGCCATTACGCCTGGAGGTAAAGTTAATGATTCATAGCCAAGTGCTGCATTCTTTCCATATGTAAGATGAGGAGATATTTTGCAAAGCCCCCGAATCAACTTAATGCTGTTATGGGCCATTGTTCACAATAAACATGTAAATTGTGTTTAGGGAATAGAATATAAGTCAGTGGGTTAATGACACTGATTCACCAATAAATTATAATCAAAGTGTGCTGTGGGTTGAATATATGCTTTGTATACAAAAAAAGGATACAAGGAAAACAACAGTCAATAAAGAATGCATAGTGAACATTTTAAACAAACATCTATTGTTAAAATGTCAAGCGTTTTCAAAGGAAACAAGCAGAGTTGTTAGATTTACTCTGTTCTATTCAAATAATCTAAAATATAGTGGCAGTGACGGCTATGCACAATACTAGATACTAGAACAAAATGAAGCTCAGTCATCATTCATTAGATTAACTTTCCTTTTTTGGGGGTAAAGCTATCCCTCATTTATCGTAATGAAAATTTAGAATACCAATAAGCCTACAAGTCAAATGGTGTATACTGTAAGTCAGGTGTAATTAACTGTTGTAGTAATACAACTAAGCCACTAGATGGGAGTATGGTATATATTTACTTTTGAGACTGAATCTAATCAAAACGAACAAAATTGGAGTCACTGTGACTAATTTAATTTTTTTGCCTCAGGTATTCCAGATTCAGCATAGTACGTTAGACAAAAATATTTTCACTTTTGTAATAAAAAATCTATTTTGGAGGTAACACATTCTGTACAACATGCTGACAGATTCTCATGATTATATTCACATAACATTTTTTATATATTTTTACCCCTGAATACTGTTTTTTTGGCAATGCAAAATATGTACTTGTTAACTGACTCCTGTAAAAAATGCTGAAAATGAGCACAAATGTTATGAAAAGGTTTTTTGTTATTACACCATTACACCATGGGATTGCATGTGAAATATATAATTGAAAATGAATCCGCAAGGCACCGAGAATCAGTGTGGAAGCGGGCTGAGGGGAGGCTCTGACAGCCCGTCTCTAGCTTAGGTTTGAAGCTGGAGGGAGGAGGGACACTACTGCTACAGATTTAGAGATGACACCGTCTGGGGAAAGATTGATGGCTTCAAGCAGCAGATAACCGCTTGTTGTGTGAAGAGCGATTTAGAAGGGAGGCAGAAATTGTAGGGGGGAAGAGGACTCCGCCCACTTGGAGCCAGCCACGTGCACTTCAAACACACTGCAATTAGCTGCTCAGGCAATTACAGGTTTCTGGGGGGTAAGTGTAAGCCACTGATATTTTATTTTAATCACATGAAATTCTGGAGGCTACCGTTCATCCTACACAATCTGCATTTGTTGCTAAGCTATCATTGTAACTACATGAATGTTAAGAAGAACTAAAAGAATCTGCGTCACTTTATCCTATTGTATGTAAGAGGTTTCATAATACTTTAGATGTCTCTCCTATTTATCTGTAATAGAACACAAAAGACAATTTACTCCAAAGGTTATTCAGTATTTATCTAAATGTTGATGTTACAAAAGCCCAGCTGTTTGAACACCTCTAAGACAGTACTTTTTTCCCACACCATTCCATGCGTGACCCTTTACAATGCCATTGTTAAGCCCTGGATTGTTTGCAGTCATTACTTATTCAGCCAGTCGTCGCTCCTTTTGTCCCAAATCACTCCACACTTTGTCCCCAAGACCTATTCCTGCCCGCTGTGGCCCATCTGCCTCCTCTGTCTGACACATACTGCACAAGCTCTCCATTTTTTTCTCACAAACACACACCCACAAAAGCGAGCAGCTGTCCAGCCCTTATCTATGGCAGTAAAAGGCGTAGACCACAGAGAAGATATGCAAAAAAACTCCCTTGTCTCAAGCAGGTTTTCATTGATTTGAATCACTTGAGCAAAGTGACTTACATGATGCATCATGTACGATCAATACTTTGCTGAGTCATGCGGCATACGGTGCAATCATCACCTTAGGCGATGGGAAAATGTGGGAAAATATATTTCTGACACTTTTTTAAAACAGACCATGATTTGTTTATTAAGAAAATCTGCACTAATCTGTTATTCAAGTAATTAGCAGTTGCCAAAGAAGACTGACTCTGCTTAATGATGAGCTAAACAGGACATACTTCCAGATTCACATAGTTGCTTGCTGACCTCAACACGGATATGGCTCCTTTTATTACTTTTTTGTTGACGCTGCCAGGATAGATGTTATATTTATTTAAGACGGAAGTAAGAAGCTGTGCCAAGTAGGAGCTTAAAAATAGAACGCAGTCATTGATGGAGGTTATAAATAGAGAAAAGGAAGAAGGGATGATCCTTAAGGGGGATATTTATGGTGCCGGTGTTGTGCCAAGGTAGTTCTCCCCACCAGGAATTGTATCCCCTTCCACGGGAGCGTGCATTCACTCTTTCCATTGGTTGTTTTAAGCATGCTTTAAATATCAGTTTCATGATGTTGTTAAAGCCTTTAATGCAGTTGTGTCTTTATGTCCTTCACAAGAATAAAGTAGAAATATTACGAGAATCAAGTTGAAATAATACATTATTACTATATTGCCATAGTTGATGGCTTTCATAATCTTTGCCCGCAATGCAGCTGTACTAAATAAAGTCAAAACTGTATTGGTTTGACCTGGGGTGTGAAATAAGATATCTGATGGTATAATGTAATACAAGCTTTAAACCGAGGGGGTACGGATTCTGGCAGGCTGATGGATGAATCATCAATGCATTTAGTCAAATACAGAAAAAGCATGTGACATGAAGAACTTGGATTTTTACCAATTGTTAAACAAACAAAGCAACAGAAACATCACAGTCATCTTCTTTTGTTGTATTCAAAAAGAAAAATTAACAGCTTCAATGTAAGTATAGGAGACTACAGATTATATCTGTTGAGGGGCAATCCTTGTAGGATATTTAGACAGTCCTGGAGTCGTGAACCTCTTACAGCGTGTCATTGGACACCGTTGCTGTTCAGTATTCGTGCAAACGACGTGAAGAAAAGCCTGAATTAAATCTTTGTACAATATTATGAAACTGATTTTAAAGCATGGATTGAACAACCACTGTACTGTTATCTTTGGTTGGAAATAGGGAGAAATTGTTTGCAAAACTTGCATTTCATTTTGCAAGCGCTGAACTGAGTGGATGCGCGCTCCCGCGGAAGGGGATACAATTCCTGGCGGGGGCAGCTACTTTGGCACGACACCTGGACCCTGCTCTTTACTGGAGGCAGCCATGTGTCCCCTTATCAATAATACCATAAAATACCGTTGAATGCACAGTCACCTCCCTCGTCCAATTCTGGAAAGATGCTTCTGAAGTGAAATTAAATCACTTTTATGAGGGGATCAAAGGGATTACTCCAGGGGGCCTGCTATTCATGGACACAGTAAATGCAAGAGTTGGATCACATTTCAGTGTTGACATATCTCTGCTTACAGTTTCTTTTCCATTTCTATCAGTTTGATGAGGGGTTTCATTGTGTAAAAAAAACAAACATATACTGAATACCCAGCGTATAGGGATATGTATATACGAATGTGTAGCATATAATATTATGGTATTGCTCCTGTAATCGTCCTCCTTTACAGCTGTCTGTCAGTTTGCGGTACAAATGCAGGGAGTTGCAAAGCTGTATGTTGAACACTTGCCTGATACAGGTGGAGGGCAGACCAGCTGACTCAGGGGCAGGAGGAGGGGCGGCCAGGCAGGCTGGTAGGCAGGCAGGCAGGCAGGCGGGCAGGCGAACAGCTCGGCTAGTTTGCTTGCTGCTCATTAGCTGCCTCCTCCACAGACAGCCGACCGGAACGGAGTGAACCTGCGACGCGGGCAGCCACAGCTGAGCCCCGGGCAGCCTCCAGCCAGCCGCCGGGCAGCTCAGCCCGAGCAAGCTAACAAGCTAATTTTACTCTTTTATTACAGTAGCTGCAAATTCTGCAATTCTGGCGGGCCAAATTAAATCAGAGTACTTCAACTATTTGATTTAGCTGCGTTTTAAAACATGTCTATATTACCGTTCACTCCTCCAATTGTGAAGAGGCTCCTGGGCTGGAAGAAAGGAGAGCAGAACGGACAGGAGGAGAAATGGTGCGAAAAGGCTGTCAAAAGTCTTGTGAAGAAGCTAAAGAGAACTGGACAATTAGAAGAGTTGGAAAAAGCCGTCACGACACAGAATGTCAACACAAAATGCTTGACTATACCCAGGTAAACTGACTCCTTCGTACAAGTTAGCTGAACCAGCAAGCTAATGCCGATGACAGTTAACGGTAGCCCAATAGCTAGCTAGTTAGCTAGCTACTCCGAGCTAACACGAGCCATTAAGTGTTTTGACTTGTAGCATTTTACAATCGGAAATTGATAGCGAGAACTTGAGTGTCCTTTAATTAATTAAATACAATTGCTATTCTTGGTTTTGACATAACTAATGGTTATTAACCTTTGCTAGCACTGTTGTGCAGCAATACTTAGCTGAAGTTAACGCGCTTTAATGGAACTGTAATCATGTAACGGTCAGTTAATGATATGTATCAGCTTGGAATACATATAATTATCCGGTATGTTATAGTTATACGATATGACGTGCCTTAAACCCATAATTTAAGACTGTTTGAGTTTGTTATTTTTTTTTAATACTACTCACACTGAGTACATGACCTGTGGACCAACGATAACTTTAAAGTAAGATTTGTGTGTTTGAGTGGGAATGAGATCAACGATACTAGTTAATGTTTCTCCAGCCTCCAAGCAGTTGTTAAGGACGTGTAAGCAAGATCCTCTGCTCAGAGGGTAGCTGCAGTACATCAGCTGCATAAACATGTCCACAGTTCAACATGTATGATAAACAGGAGGAGTGATTTGGCAAAGCTGAACCCTGACTCACAGAGGATGTTTAGACTGGAGTGGGTGCACTCTGGGAAAGTTGTATTAAGGGTTTCTCATGTGGGAATCCCCGTATAGGATTCTGATCTAAGACAGTAGTTTTCAGTCATAAGATATACATGAGGTGAAGAATTGTGCAGACATAAGCTGTATTCCAACGTCTTTTGATGAGTGAACTGAAGTGTGTGTGCAGTTTGGGGATGCCTCCAAACACAGGAACTGATGTGTCCTTATGTTTCATCAGATTTGAATGGGTTTACCGACAGTATTCAGTCCGTGTTAACAACCAAGATTTGAACCACTGAGAAGTACAGAAAATTGGACTTTGACTGCCAGTACATCACATAGTGTGTTAAGTGTGGATAATTGCAACTCTTACATAATTATTTGGCTTTTTATGTTTTATTGCAGACTTATCATCTTTAAGACACATCCACAACATTGTCTTACCGGTAACAGCCAGAACATTTGGAACTAATTCATGTCTTCATGTATTACCACAGAAGAATAGTCAAAAAGTTCATTTGTTGGCTATAGTCCTTGAAAAACTGGGAGAACAATTCATGATATGTACAGAGCTGAGAAACTAGATGGTAACTTATATTAAAAACTTATTCTGAGTTCTTAGGAATGTGCTCAAGGCCTTACAGAGGGTGTGGGCCTCTGTTGTTGTTCAGACTAAGTGGGTTCTCAAAGTGCCAGTTCATAGAATTACTAGTCTTGTTATCTGAAAGTGGGGGTACAAATGAGGACCTTTGCTTTGCTATTCTTTCAGCTTTCTTTTTTGTGGTTAAGACAGAAAAAAAGTTGTTCTACACGATACAATTGTAAATTTATCTTTTGATAATTTCAACATTGCAGTAAGGGTCATATCAGACGTATGATATTTACACTATAACTACAGGACATAATGGAGACAGTGCAGTTGATTAAGCCACAGGAAACCAGCCACACAAAAAGGCTTAAATATAAGTGCCCTTTTTTAACATGAATCTGTAAAGCCTTATTGTATCTTGTTGTATAAAAGAAAGCCCAACTCTGAAATTCCAAGCATACATAGATGTTTATACATATACAAATCTATTGATTCACATGACAGGGCTAGTACGCATTGTTTTCAACCTGTAAAAAAAAGATTGCTTGTGATATTACTTTAAATTTGTTGGAAGTGCGTTGGGATGCCTATGTGTCTCAGGTTGACAGTTATTTTCTCTTCTGCTGAATAGAAAGATTCCTCTAGTCCAGTTGTGTGTCAGTGATAAACCAGTGACAGGACGTAGCCCAGGGAAGACTAAGCAGAGACATGGGAATGCTGACCTTAGCTTACCCTGTAAACCATCTCAGCTCAGGAAGATGAGCCTTAACCCACTTCTTTCTGCAGTCCTCATAAATGCACTCCTATCTGAAAGCTTGGAAATCAATATAAGAATATAAGGTGGACATGGAGGTTCTGTGGTGTGTACAGTTGTATCATAGAAGCTGGTTTATTGTCTCATTGAAAAGCTGTCCTGCAAGTCTGCACAAATATAACAAGTACAATACCTTTGCTTACTTTTTTACACAAAGAAAGCATATCCAAAACAAATAAGGGTGATGGATTTAAACAAATGATACAAACGCACACACATATTTCAATTTACAGGAGCTTTGCATTAGATTTATTTATTTATTTATTTTCTGCTCAGTCAGCACATTTCTATGAAAAGATAAACGGGTCCATAAAGGTGTCTGATGGAACTCAGCAGTACTGCGAGCAAAATGTGCACATCCAGTGAAAGAAAATGTCTTCCTTTTGGATCAGAGAGTTATGTTTCAGATGACTTTGGCAGCACAGAGCAACCAAATGCCTGTATCATGATGTCAGACTGAATTAACTTGAGATAACCCGTAGAAGAAATGGGGCAAATCCTCCACAATGTTTTAAACATGAATTGAGCATGTAAGATAAGTTTTTAGGACATTTATTTGAATTAGTCTTTTGGTGGCTTTTCGCACAACACATTTCCATTCTTTGGTGACATTTGTGTTGCATAGAAATACTAATAATTGCTCTGGGAGTCTAAAACTTTCAGTCAGATTTCCATTACAATGTGATAAACAGAAATATGGACTGACTTTATGCTGAATGTGGTTTGCATTCCAACCTTGATTTTTGGATTTCAGGCCCTTTAAAGTTTTTTTTTTGTATTTTTTTGCACAGCAGTTTGATTGTTGTGGTAAAGGAATCAGTTCACTATACTTGATCGTCAATTGTGAGCTCGGTATGAAAGTTGAATATGTCAAGTCTATTACAAGAGCCACGCCAAGCAAACCATTTCCTTTGTATGCATCATCATTATTTGTGGGGTCTTTCAGGTCATTGGACGGACGTCTGCAGGTTTCCCATCGAAAAGGCCTTCCTCATGTGATCTACTGCCGCTTGTGGCGCTGGCCAGACCTGCAGTCTCATCATGAGCTGAGGGCTGTAGATCACTGTGAATTTGCCTTTCACACCAAGAAGGATGAAGTGTGTGTCAACCCCTATCACTACCAGAGGGTGGAGACGCCAAGTGAGCTGTTTATAGCCATGTGACACAAATGACTCAATACTTTCAACAAACCATGTACTGGACTGAAGAGGTGTTTTGTATGTTTCTAGTTCTGCCTCCTGTCCTAGTGCCACGTCACACAGATATTCCTGCTGAGTTCCCACCACTGGACGACTATAGCCCGTCCATCCCCGAAAATACCAATTTCCCTGCTGGCATTGAGCCCCAGAGTAACTATATTCCAGGTGAGATAACTGTGCCCCTCTTTCTCAGGGTCCTAATGTTTTTGTGTTTGAATGCAAAGTGGAGTAATGTAGGCACAGTTTAATATTAAACATTGAGCAAAATGCCATTCAAATTAAATATGGACAGTTTTTTTTTTACTTCAAATCGTATGACATTCCATGAGCGGTTTTTATTGTACCCAAATCCATAAAAAGCTGTTTCCTTTGTTGAGAATAGGCCAGTTGGTATGGTTTGGATACGTACCGATTATTGGAGTGTGAGAATCTTCTTTGCGTTACAGAAACTCCCCCACCAGGGTATCTGAGTGAGGATGGTGAGACAAATGATCACCAACTCAGCCACAGCATGGACACGAGTGAGTCGCATAACAAGACACCCCCAATGATCCTTCTTTTCTAATACCATCTTATTACCGTGCACTCACGGGCCTGCCCTCTCTTACCTTCTTTTTCAGGTTCCCCCAGCCTGTCGCCCAATCCCGTGTCACCAACAAACAACAATCCCGGTACGGGAAATCTAAACAGTTTGCTCTTCTTACTGAGCATTTCTTTACACATTTGCGCTAATCCACTTGGTAACAATCACATTAGGCAAAGCACACGTAATCAGTTTTTCAAATTCATTTATCCATTTCAGTTTTCTTTTTTGAGTACCTAGATGTTTAAGTATTTTTTTAAGGAAAGTTTTCAAAAAAAAGTTGATCATGTGGCTAAATTTGGGGACAAAAACACTCACTTTTTAGAGCACATCTCATCATAAATGTAGAAGCCACAGTAATGGAGTTGATCTCAGTCATCCCTTAGTGATGCCTGAGCTTCTGAAACACACAGTGTGCACCATGTTAACAGTAGCTGTGAAAGGAATATCATCTCTTTTTTTTTTCTTTAGTAGTTGTAGCTCACCAGGATGCTAACAGGCTGTTTTTATTTTAAATTCGGGGTATAAGATTAAATTGTTAGGGGTGGGTGGGTTGAGACGGATAAGCATCATACAAGAAGTATGTGGACAGCGTCTAAGAGGCTTAACCTCAGGCCAGTAAGAAAGCATGGTGTGACTGGATATCTGTCTTTGTTCTGTCCTCGGCAACTACAGATTAGTCATCCATGTAGAAAGCCATTATGAGTTTTACTAAAATCTAGACATTTTGGCATGTATTTGAGCACAGAGCTTGTGGAAAACAACATTCAAAGATAAATAAAAGGGAACATACCGTAGGTTTAAAAAAAACAAACATTTTCATGGACCTATCATCTGTAAATGTCTCTGTACATTTAGGCTTACAACCTGTGACGTACTGTGAATCGGCCTTCTGGTGCTCCATCTCCTACTATGAGCTGAACCAGCGTGTTGGGGAGACCTTCCATGCATCCCAGCCCTCCCTTACAGTAGATGGATTCACAGACCCCTCCAACTCTGAACGCTTCTGCCTTGGCCTGCTGTCCAACGTCAACCGTAACTCTGCCGTGGAGCTCACACGCAGACACATAGGTATTGGAGGTGTTTCGAATGGGGAACAAAACCTTTGATTCAGCTTTCCTTGTGTATTTTCGCTTGACAAAATGATCAGATGGGGTGTTGAGGTACAGCCGTTTCTTTTCCCTTTGCAGGACGAGGTGTGAGGTTGTACTACATTGGGGGCGAGGTGTTTGCAGAGTGTCTTAGTGACAGTGCCATCTTTGTTCAAAGTCCAAACTGCAACCAGCGCTATGGTTGGCATCCTGCCACGGTGTGCAAAATACCTCCAGGTCAGTGTGAGAGTGATCCATACAAGTGGCCCTTCTTATTAGAGGAGGCATGGCTACAGCATAACTGAGCTCTAGATAACATCAGACAACAGCATCTTTTTGTTTTCTGCTCTAATTCGTTTGATAATGAATATGTTTAGGCTGCAACCTTAAGATTTTCAACAACCAGGAGTTTGCCGGCCTCCTCGCTCAGTCTGTCAACCAGGGCTTTGAGGCTGTCTACCAGCTCACCAGGATGTGTACCATCCGCATGAGTTTTGTGAAGGGCTGGGGAGCTGAGTACAGGTAAGCTTTTTATGGAAAAACCTCTATTAAATCTATTTGCATTTGGCACATAATTAAAGTTCCTCAGAATGAATATGTAACTGTTCATATTTATGTAATCACTTCCACAATGCATACCCAGACAACTCTGAAAATGAAAAATATATGTGCATATTCATTTAGTCACAGTTTTTTTCAGTGATGGAGACATTGACGCAGTTTCAAGGATTTTTCACCACATAAACGAGGTTTTGAATTGAAATGAAACCGAACAAATAATTGAAAACACTATTTGTCCTCAGTCATACCTGAAGGGGACGTTTAAATTCCATCTGGTCGTGCTGAGCAGTTTTGGTATAAGTCACGGTGGCTTTCTGTGGGTGGGAGGATCCATGAGTTGGCAACACAGGAGGAAGAATGCAGCTGGCATGCAGTGGTGTGGGGGGCATGGGGTGGGAGGGTGGACATATTTCACACTCCCCTTGCAAAGGGGATTCCCGCTGGACTGTAAGTTGTGCGTGTTGTATTTCTGGCACCAAACACCTCGGAGGAAAACATCTCTAGTAAAGACTTGTAATGACTTCAGAAATAGCCGACAGATCTGGTCTTACGGTTGGTTCTGTCATTAAAGTTACCCGCAGGACTGAATCTTTGCATCCACTCCAATCAGATGAACACACATTTTACAGTGACTTCATGTGTATAAGAGCATGATGTGGTCCAAACAAAGAGCCTGTCAAGTCGGAGCATACCACCCTGTCCTTTTGTGTCACGCAGGCGTCAGACGGTGACCAGCACCCCCTGCTGGATAGAGCTACATCTCAATGGTCCACTGCAGTGGCTGGACAAGGTCCTCACACAGATGGGTTCCCCCAGCATCCACTGCTCTAGTGTGTCCTGAGAGGAGCAATCCTTCCCAAACAACTGAGAGCAACCATAATAGGAAAGAGACAGCATTCATCACATGAATGTCTCATCAAATGTATAAAACCTTTTTTTTTGTATTATTTAGTGTCCCTATTTGGTAGTTACATTTGGAAGTTTATTAGTTTTTAGATGTTTTTTTTTTTTTAAAGCTTTCAGGTGATAAAACAAATTGTATTTATTGCTCATTCAGACGCTATGTCTGCCCTTGCTTTGTGGTTATTTCACAAAGGAGATTTGATTTTTTTGGTTTGTGAAGTTGAAGTTATGATTTCAGCTTGACTGTTTTACACTTTTTTGATTCTATGAATTAACAGCGATTAAGAATATGCAACCATAGCATCCTCCATGCTCGCTGAATTGTGAGGCTTATTTAAAATTGAACCTTTTAAAAACAGGAAATTATTTAATAGAATATATTTAATATTTGAAGTATAGAGTACTTTTCCCAGATTTAATGATTTGCATTAGGAAAAGCATTAAGTATGTAACTGAACAGTGGACTGGTATTCTCTGTAAACAATGAGAAAAAACAGGAAGTGAAAAGGATCATTGTTTCTGTAAAAGAACCCTTGTATGAAAACTATTTTCTTCAGTGAAAGAGACATTTTCTAAGTTATTTTTGCATATTGTCCAGCATGGGAATATATTTTTTATTATTGCCTCAAGATGATTGTACAGAAATATTTATAGCCTGTAATTTCACCTCAATGCATTGCTTGAAATTGTGTGACTACTAGCATGAGGCGGACTCACATTAAGACGTAAGTCACCTAAAACCTGGCCTGCTTAAGCACGAATGTTTCTGACCGGGTCAGTTGGTTCTACAGTGTAAAACACAAGAATAAATCTAATAGGACATGTGGCATGCATATGTCCCATTGGGTTAGGTTGGGCAAGGTTATATTGACAATGGCTGTGCTTCATCCATTTGTGGGATGTGGTGTGAAACCATGCAGGTTTTTACCTGTTACAAACAATTAATCTGTGGTGCAACATGCTCCGAGTGGGTAAGTTGTGCAGTCCCATTATACTGTGTGAACCAATGTAAAGCTTTAGTTGTAGTAGCAGTTTGCCTGTCCAATAAACACTGTATAATACATGTGCATTGTTCAGTAATAGGCATATGTTACATGCCTCTTGGTCACTGTCTCTGATGCAGCCATTTTAATTCTGCACTTTGAGTGCACAAGAATGAGGCACCATGTAATCTTTAGTGCATCAGGTCGTGGGTAGATCTGTACGAGTTCTGGTGTTCCTCAATGTGAGTTGTGTCCCTGTGTAGTCTTACATGTTTTATTTTGATGTGGTCTAATTTGCCCAAATGACCATAATTTTCAATGTGAAATATGAATAAATCGAAACAGGAATAAAAAAGGATTGTTTTGTTTTTTTCAATAATCAGTAACCAGAATTGGAACTCCCCCCCTTAAACAGAGAGGAAAACTGACAGTGAATAACTTTACAGGCTGAAGATTGTGATGAAGTGTAAGTGAATTAATTTTAAACGGACATTTCAGCTCCTGCACTCATGAAGCATGACAGATGCACTCAACACAGCAAAAATGTCTTAAATGGTCATTTTAATTATTGCAGAGGTTTTCTCATTCAGCACTACTACACCACTTTTTTATTGGAATAAGGGGACAGAAAGCCTCAATGTCATGGGACCGTGTTTACTATGAATACACTGAACATAAATTACATGATTCTATGCTGATTCAAATGAGTATGCATGAAACTTCTTATAACTCTTCAAAGTATAAGGCACATATGTAACAGAAATACACATGCCCACTCTACCTATAGACATAAACATCAAAGTCCACCATCATGTACTGATGTTTGCAGGGGACAAAAATATAGCGGGGACCCAGGGAAGATGGCTGGGAATCATGGCCACTCAGTGACTTCTCCTAAAAACAGGATATCCAATATTTCTTTAAAAAATACATTGATCATTTCATTATAAGAATCAAAAGTTTCTAACTATCCATGCCTACAGTACCATCTGTAGGCATCTCCACTTTCCAAGTCCAAATGGGACGTCAAAGGGCGCTGAGTCCTGTGTGAGCCCTGGGAAAGGCAGGAAGATCAGGAGGAAGGAGACTGAGCCACAGGTAGCTGCCTTTAGCTGTCCTCACCCGATGATAACCCATCTATCTCATCTTCATCGCCACCAATGGCCATCCAAAATGCCTTTGCTACCTGAAAAGTAGATTTAGTGCTTTACTTTGACCGACTCATTAGGATCCCCACTTAGCTTCAATTGGTTTGATGAAAAAAGTCATTTCAGTTCTTTACCTTTTCTGCATGAACTTTCCTCTGCTCATGTGGCAACGAAGAGGCTTTATCTTTAGGACAAAAAAAAGACAAACACATGAGGTATACAAACGTTTCACTTCACAAATAAAAGAACAGACTCCTTTATTTGAAAGTTCAGAACAAGGAATTTTCATTTACAAGTTACCTTTCATCTCCTTCAACTTGTTAAAGAGACGTTCAAAATTATCTACGTCTGCATCACCAGCTGTGAGATTGGCGAGCTCCTGAATATCTAAATCCGTCATAGCATCTGCAAACATAAACAAAATATATATATATATATACACACATACATACAGTAAGTGTATATGCACATGACTATTTTCGTTTTTTTAGAAGACCAACAATAAAGCATTGTGACTTACCCACTACGGAGTCTGGCTGTGTGCCTGTGTTTGTATTTCTTTCGGTCTCATCCGCCTCTTCATTAGTGTCCTCTGCTGGCAGGTTGGGGGACTGCAGCATCACAATAAAATTATCCAAATTGAAAATGCAATTAAGTGTAAATGATATTCCATCTAATAAAAATTATACATAAGATTGAAATGACTGTACTGCAAAAAAAAAAAAAAGCAACTCACTGGTGAATCCTGACAGCTGCGTGGGTTGTTGTGTCTAGAAGCCACCAAACTGCTCATTAGACCAAATCCTTGATTGTGACCTGTCAGATGGAAAAATAAATGGTTACATACACTCTATACACAGGTAATAACAGTCAGTCAGTAGGTTACAGAGTCAGTCTTATGAACTCACCGTCCTTCATCTCCACACTGGACCACACGTTAGCATTCAGAGCCTGCACAATTCGCTTTACTCCTGTGGATTCTGGAAAATCATCTAGGAGAGCCGACATCAATTATGATCAAATAAAATGTATTTACTGTTTCAATTGTTAACACTTAATATGCAAGTATGAATCATGCAATCTTACCATCTTCATCTGGCAGATCCTGAGGGTTGAGTTCCACAAGCTCAAAGGCATGAGCCAAACACCACTGTTGTGCTTCATGTCTGGTGACTCCTGCATCATAAAATGACACCGTCACTCGCCTGATGGAACAGTGTAAATGCCATTGCATAATTCTTAACACGCGGACAGACGACTGCCACTAACCGTTTTCGCTGACTCTGTCACACACTATAATGAGCACCTCTGGTGCAAGATCTTCAACCACTGGAATCCACGGGTTTAGCTTTTCCATCCCATCCTTCTGCAAGTCAAAGCACACATCATGTGAGGTGGAAGAGCTTCACTGGACACCAGCTGAGTTTTAAGTAATCACAGCTCTTTAAATAACATACCACTTTGCTGTCAAAGTATGCAATAAAAGCCTGCATGGACTGGGCAATCTCTGATGTCACTTGAGTGGTACTTGGCACAGCACACAGTCTGACATCTGCCGTATAATATTTGTTGTTTATGGTCCAAGGAAACCAAGCCACTGTTCCCTCTTGCTTGGTTGGCTGAGGCAAGATCTCAGAGTTGAGGATTTCTGTCACAAACATACGTATTATCGCAAAAGCAAAATCGATTTATTTGCTTTCAATTTGACAGCGTTAAATGAGGAAAGCAAAGCACTTCATGTATCTGACAAAAACGGCACCTTAGCTTTTTATTATTTGGAAAATTAAGCAAAACGTCCAACTGTCATCCGCTATGCTAAGAGTAAGTTAGCTTCATTTAGCGTTAGCAAATCTCACGAACCCCATGCACTATACGTTATAACTTACGTTTTATCAATGCTTCCTCTTTAAACTCGCTGTCGCAACTAGTGACCAGCACGCATGGAAGAATGGCCTCTGTGTTTTCTTCTGTCGCTGACATTGTTATTCTTTTACCTTGTGAAAGCTTTTCCTGCTGCTAGCTTACAGTGCCTCTGACCAACTTTGATTACCTTTCAACTCTGACAGAACTTCCGCTGAACGGGCTGTTCCGGAAAATGGGCTCAAACCAGATTAAAAACGGCATTTGATACATATTCTGGTATTCAAACTTTTTTATTAGAAAATGTTATAAAACGCGTAATAAAAGAAAGTTTAAGAATACACAATTTGGGTACATGGTAGAAAAAAAATCCTCACAGGGCAAATTTATGCCCTTAATTTTATCTTGTAGGCCAAACCGTCGAAAAACAACACCATTAATGATTATAATGTATTTTTCCCAAGTACATTGGATATATAATACAGATAGTTAGGAAATGTATTTTTATCAGATGAGCAGATTATTTAATTCTTTATGTTTAGTGCGTGGGTGCTTGTGTGTTCTGGCGTAGGTTTCTGTGGAGGAGCAGCTACCTGGAAGTCCAGTTGTGGGGAATATTACGCCCGTGTATCCATTGCCATGGTTACAAGTAGTGTTACTGGAGTTTTGGTTGCTAAATGGCTCACTGCTTCGGTAATGGTGGTGCAGCAGTTCACAAGATGAGATTCCTGTGCATGTTTGAATCTTTAGACTAGGAACAAAAAATGTCTGAGAGACTTAGAAAGGAAGACAATTTGGGCGCAGTTTTAGTCAAGGTAATTTTGAAGTGTTTATTGTTTTTAATTTTTTAATTTGATTTAATTTCTGAAGTATTTTGTATTGCAGGTTCAAGATGATTTAAGACAACTCAAATGTAGTCTTGAGGATATCACTGCTAGTGAAAGTGGCACAACTCTTGATATTGAAGCCCTGAACAATGCTATCCACAGGACAGAGAGTGGCATCAGGGTGAGTGTTTCATTGACAACTTCTATGCTAAATCTAAATTGGAGAAATTAGTAAAGAACTGACAGTAACTATATCTTTTATTTGGTCACAGAAACATGCAGAGGATTATTTGGAAACCATTAATAAGCAGCAGCTGGTTCTTCCAATCATTGAAGACTTTCCAAAGAAGGCCATCAAGATCCCTAAATGGTGAGAGAGAAGATGGTTGTTTAGTTTTTTTTTTTAAGTTGGCAATGCCTATTATGAGCCTAAATCTTTACATAGGTCACCCTCCTTAGACTATGGTCCAGATCTACTAAGGAGGGAGCTTCCAGGAGTCTCACAAGGGGAAAAGGTAGATCATTTCTATATTGGGATGTTTGTCTAGAAAAATAAATTGATACAAACATATATCTGCATTTTAAAATCAAATTTGTGGAATTGGGGATGAAAAAAAAGTTTGCTGACTCATTTAAACTCGATTGTCTTCCTTAATTGCTTCCCAGTTAACTAAACCTGGTTAAAAAAAAAAACTAAATTATTTTTGTCATAAAATTATGATATGTCTTATTTTGATTTTATTCAGTAGATGCTGTCCTTTTTAACATTTTTTCATTTAGATACTGCATTTGATAATTGTTTAGGTTTGTTTAATGTTTATGGTTCTTTTTGACATGCGTGTTTGCAAATTTGTCTCGAGGCTCCTCTGTTTTTATGGTATGGACTCGGAAAAAACTATTCAAACATTTAACATTTCTCTTTCCATGTTTTCTTAAGCAAACAATAAATACGACACATAATCCTACTCACCAGAACAGCAGAGTCAGCGTGCATCAAGCGTTCAGAACTTCGCTCCCAGACATCCCCAAGAAGAGTGCTAACTCAGTAAGTGATCTTCCATCAGTGTACAACAGTTTTACAGGGTCTGTCGATTTTTGTACTTGTTTTTACATGTGAACTATACTTTACAGAGAACACAGCTAAAGAATCAATAGAATAATGCTTATTCTATTGATGAATTAAATGTGACCCCAGTTTCAGTCTGTGGTTTTCATGGTTTAACATACCATTGTGGTATACTGTTTTATCTCATCTAAATGGGTCACATTAGTCACATGGAACTCATCTACAACAGGATGGCGACACTTTATTTATGGTTAAAGCTAGATTTTAGTTTTTTTTTATTCCTCCATGCCTTTGTATCCCCTCACAACAAGGAGATATCCAACTATTGGAATGCTAGACAACATAGGCAATGGACATGTCCCTCTTAGTTTTATTTTACAATTGATTGTTAATGTAATCTGCAAGTTTACACTAACCATAAACATAAACATTGCATGATCAGATTATTGTCTGGTCTTTTGATTATTGATTACTGTGTTGTACATCACTGCTGATACTGTAATAATTCAATGTTTAGTTTAGTTTATTTTTAAAGTGCATTCTTCGCATGCTATAGAAAAACTCATTTGAAAGAATTTCAAGGTAAACTAAGACAGATTGGGTATCATTGATTCTTACTCCCATCATTTTCAAAATGAGTTTATGCTGGAGTGAAAAGCAATGGTAAAAGTCCATTTAAAAGACACTTCAGGTCTCATGGTCAGACAGACGTGGCATAAAGGTCACTTGGCTTAGTGATGACATCCAGTACTTGTCACGGCAAACAAAGGAATCTTTGCAAAGGTCGGCATTAGTTTTAGTTATATTTTCAATGTACTTTCTTTTTCAATATGTTTTTGGTAATGTGAGCCTGACACGAGAAATACAGGCCAAAGCTGTCACTCTGATACAGGAGAGATGGAACTGCTGGCTGCAGAGAGGAAAGCAGCAGATTGCAGCACATCAGCATTCCTCTAAAGAAACAGGCGCCTGATTGCTGTGCTATGGGCTACTGGTTTACAGCTGTCTCAAGACACAATCGGCTACCTGGTCCAGCATGCCAATAAGACAGCCGTAGCTTCCCCAACTGCTAACCACTGGCTCTCTGCCTGCTGCCGCCTCCTGCAACTCAGTCCAGCTCTTTTCCACTCCAAACTCGTGCCAGGGAATGAGCTTTTGCATTTTAGCAATTTTACAAAGGGTGGCACCTTTTCCCAGCCCCATCTGAAACAGATGTGTGCCTTTGAGGGGAGAATCTCCCAGCACCTGGCTACTACCCGTGGTCTGTCAGAGAGCTCAGTGGTCTGAGGAGAACGGAGGAGAGGACATGAGGACATAAGGAAATTAGTCTGCAAGAGTACAAACTTTGGAATTTTATAAGTAAATTATTTTTGTCTTGTCAAAGTTGAATCCACAACATGAGTATTTTATTTATCTTAAATCAAGACACTGAATGATACTAAATTCTTTTCATGTCTCAATTTCTATGGTTTCAAATATTTAAAACCTGGTTAGTTGGTGTTTTAATGTGAATATTTTAATTGGTTTAGGGTTAATTATGACAGAGGGTTACAATCTTTCTTTCTGCAAAGTTCTTTCTGTGTATATAAAGGTCCCTTCATAATCACTGTCAAACATCTTCATTTTAAACGTTCATTGTTCCGAGAGCAATTGTCTTTATCCTTGAGCTGACATGACTCTCCTTATTAGTTGGATATTGTCTATGTTTGATAAATACCATGACAATAGAAATACAACTGAGAACAACCATTTGATTAAATCCTGAAGTGTGATTAATTAAGAGTTGATTTGGAAATTTATACAGAAACTGGCTGTTCCTTTGTCCTCTACTGTGTATACTGTATATCTGCTCTCTGCATGTTTGGTCTGGAATACCCAAAAGGAGTAACACAAATATAGAAGCAATGATACAAAAACAGGAAATAATAGAAATAATAATACAGTTAGATAAGACTTTAATGCATTTAATTTCATGAATCACTGTCTTGGACTCTCATTGTTCACAATGTTGCCTTTCATGTATGACAACTAAAGTTATTAATGTTCTCTTTAGACAAATCCCAAAAAAGCCACTGGCTCTGTGGGGGGTCTTCAGTCCACTGAACCGAAGGGACCTCTCTTCCCATCAATTACTGAGGACAGCATGGCGACAGGTTAAACTGACATTTCACCACCTCTTCTACTCTGTTTTACTCCAGCAGAGGCTCATTGACAGATGGCCATTACTTAATAGTTCAGTGCTTTGTTGTCACAGTAACCTCCAAATGTGTTTTTACCTCATATTTTTGGAGCACATTACAGTTTAGTGTCATAATGATTTACATTTATTTTCATAAATGTATTATCATAGAGATATATTCCTACGTGTGTGTCTTTTTAACCCCTTTTGCATTGTCCCCAGTGGCACAACCAAACATGCTTTGTCTGTCGGTCCAGCACAAGGTTGCTGCTCTTCATCCCAGAGAGGATTTGTACACTTTGAAGACTGGTCAGTTCTGAAGTCAGTTCAGGATTCAGTACATTAGAAAGAACATCACCCTATCTTGCAACCGTTTTCATATTAAGTGGAAATATTTTGAAATATCTGAAACGTTCAGTTATGGGTTAGCTTCATGTTTTCCTTCAGTCACATACAGGTGAGTCGCTGTGTCTGTCCTTTTGTTTCTGTTAGGAGCAAATTCCAGGTGCCCGAAACAACCGAAATGGCACACAGATTCAGAAACGTACTGTGTGAGGCAAATTGAGAAATTAACACCTCCCTGGACTACCAAACCACCACCTCCATCCACAGCCTCCAAGAGCATGGATCCAAGTGACATGGAGCAAGGCAGCAGCGGCCCCACTCTTAACAGCCCTCAGGTATAACCACGACAACTAAGAAAGATAACTCGATGAAGACAGAAAAGCAAATCTGTCATTAGTGTATTGCAAAGTTGTTTACATGTGATTTGTTTGTGTTTGCTCTCAAGAATCTAATCATGGAAGTTCCTGTCAATTTTGCTAAATACCCCTTTACAATAAAAAAAGGAGACATCGACCCAATGGCCACAGATTTTTGTCAATTCAAGGAGAGCTTTCATTTTTGCTGGAGTGGCGTGGTTGAGGCACTTGATGCCCTGAAACAACTGCTGAGGGATTTTGCCGTGCCTGTAGCTGAAGTGAGCGGAGAGCGGCTTGTGGAGTTGTGCCGTGGATGGGATGATGGTTGGAAGAAGGCCCCATCGGCGACTGCTCTTCTGTCTGTGCTTGAAAACCAAGAGGAGGTATCGAGCCTGGTCTCACGTCCAGGCCAGCGCTACAAGGGTGAGGGGGGCCTTGATGTGGCTGCCATCCGCATCCAGTCCTGCTGGAGGCGCCACGTGGCCAGGAGAGCCTACCTCTGCCACTCCCAGCGCAAGTGGGCGGCTGGCATTTTCGCCATCTCATGGCTGATGCGCGCCCAGATGCAGCGTGTCAAGAAGGCCCTGCAGGCACGGCGGTTCAGGCAGCTGATGAATAGTCGTAGGAGAGCACAGGTGATGTTACGTGTTGTGTTACATGTTGTTCTCGAGTGTGGCTCAATGTTTTTTTTTTGTGTCCTTATGTTATATTAAAGTTTCAGCACAGGGTTTTTTTTTTTATAAGTGAGCTGAAAAACATCAGAAACACACAAAGTTTCAGAAAAGACGACTGATTATTTACACTCAGTAAGATCTGAGAAAGAAAATAGATTGTAGTCACAATTCTTGTTTTTGCTGCCAAAAAAACGAGTTATGTGGAATCATCCATTAAATGTATTCTTGATAAAAAACAGTTTAATTCAGAACATTTAGGTCTGACTTAAAATCTATATAAACACAACTTTGTTTTTAAATTGATATGCTGCTCAGTTTAATAAAACATTTTGTTTTTAGTTGTTTGTTATGATTTGGTTTATTTCTGTGTTTTATTTTTGGGGGTGGGGGTTCAATCATAAACAAATATTTTAGCTTCTTTTTGTCATGCCATTGTCTTATAGTTACATTAGAAGAACTGAAACTGCTTACAGTTTGATTCTCAGTAAGGCAGTGTGACAGAATGATTGTCCTGGATGTGTAAGGTTCTGCAATCCTCCTCCCGCTCGGCACAGGTTGTCATGTCTGTGCTGTCATTTGGACAGAACATCTTTTAGAGCGCTGACATAATATTAATTAGTGCCTACAAGTTCATTTAGTTCTTACATAGTTGTGTGTGTATACATGCACTAAATGTATGTTCTCACTCTTTAAACATTCATACCCTGTTAATTAAACCTGCTAATCTTCCCCTGGCAGTAGCATCATGTACCTTGCTGATTGAATTAATTGTGAGAGGATGTTTCTAAGGTAAACGCTTAATTTAATTACGGTGGTATTTTATGCTTGGTTTGCTTCTGTGAGCCTACAGAGAGATTGGGTTGATGTGTTTTATCTATGCAGTGATGTGATGATTTGTGCATGTTTGTGTGTGTGTGTGTCTGGGCTCATCCGGTCCCCTCTCTGATTGCTCCTTTTCTTCGTCTCCAGCATATGGCAGCCAACTGGAAACACATCCAGTCGTCCAAGAGGACCATTATCCACATCCCTTCATTAGGTAGCTTTCGTTGCCTATTGCACACACACACACCTATTTGATCTAGAGGCAGTCATCCCCGGTCTCACCACTCCGCTGGCCCAGTCTGCCCCCGGTGCAGACACTCTGTCTCGTTCAAATGACTCTCTGCAGGAAAGCACTCACAGGATGATAACAGTCTCTGTGCCAATATTGAACAATTTAGTCTCAATCGCCATTTAATTTGCAGATTAAGCAAATGAAAAACCATTATGTTGAATATTTACAAGCGACACAAAGGCCTTATTTTATTGCTGTGCAAAAAGCTTCGCAAGAGGGAAAAGACTACTGTGTTTCTGTGCTGAACACGGAGTGCGAGCTATGATCAGGTCTTCTCATTTCAACACGGTGCTAACATTTAGACTGTGACCAGGCATGTGCATTGTAAATCATTGAGCGATTGTCTAAAATTATTAAGCCTAATTACGAGCAGATGGAATGCTTTATTTGCACTTGGGGTGGCTACAGAGAGTGCTGTGTGAGCAAGGATAATTAGAAAGTTGAACCCCATTGTTGTTAATTAGCATGAATCCAATCATTTAATTACCTTGATTCAGTTGAGGATTCTCTCACAGGCAGAAATCCAGAGATACACAGCCTACAATCCTGGTGCTGTCACTGGATGTAGTTCAGTGGTGGCTGGACCCGGAGCAACAGGACTCCCGGTGCAAGAGGGACTTTGCACCTGCTAGTTATTAACTGAATTAATAATTTAATAGCTGTACAGGGTATTACACCGAACTGAGGTCGCAGTTTTTTAAATCCATTTTAAAAATTGAAATGCGTGGCTTCATCTTGACAGGGTACTCTCAGAGCCAGCGGCAGCACTTGAGGAGACTTGACATCCTCCAGAACGTCCAAATGAGCAGACTGTGTGATATCAGAGGTGGGAGTTTCAACTTCAAGCACTCTCTCTAGAGTAAATACATGATTTGTAAAGGTCTGTTTGTTTAATTGTAGATGAAAATGTGGAAGTAATCTACATATGCCCCCAGCATCTGGGGGATGACATGTTGCAGTATTACACCAGCCTCCTGAACGGGGACGGACCCACAGATAGAGCAAACACCAGGACAACTCAGGCCTCATCCTGCAGGAGGCGCTTTGTCATCCTCACACCTGAGGCTGTGGATTATTTCCCTGTAAGATTGATGTATTTTTATAGGGTTCTTTGAGGTAACATTGTGGACAAGTCCTCTGTAGTTTGTGAAATCTCCTCTAGAGGGTACTAGAGGGGGTTGGCTAAAATAGTGACCCTCGTGGTGCATGACTGCTGGTTTAAACTGTTTGCACTCTTTACTCCCATTTGAAACTGAACTTCTGTCTTACCTGTGATAAGTTAAAACAGTGAAGGTATATTGAATTTATTCAGTCAAAATCTTTGGAATGACTATGGAATAATCTAATTTAAGGTGGCCTATCTATGTGCTGCCTTACTCTGATTGTTTTGTTTACCTCCTCACAAAAAGTAATGGCTGTACTGTCTTTTTCATGATATTTCATCCATCTGTTTGGATCCTTGTGTGCTGGATTGAATGTGCAACTTGATGTCGCCTTCTTGATTTTCCTGCTGTTTTATTGTTAAACTGTGCCAGACGTGTTGCTGAGATGAATCACTGCTACCCGTGGCTGGCAGCACATTCTGCCAGTGACAGAAGGGATAATTCCATGTGGATCAAATAAATACAGATGTGAAGTAATTAGTTGTATTCCCAAGGAGCTCGTTGGTAGCACACATTAAAGATGTGAAGAATAGGGGAGACTTCCCACTGGTAGCTCTTATCAATTCCCTGCTTGGGTACAAGAGGGGTCAAAACACTGCTGGCAATTTCAATAATAGATCTGTTTTGTGTACATAGTGATAAATCAGGTGAAGAAACAGCCCTTGGAAGACACGCGGAGATCATAGCGCTTCAGCACTAATCCTTTTTCTCCTCTTTTCTTTCAGACTCATAACATGTGTCTGTCTACGCTGCTGAAGTACAGTCCACGCACTCTGAAGCGTATCAGAAACCTGATCCAGGGGAAGCAGGCCTACATTGTGGGTGGAGTTGCCCACATGGATGACCTGGCAGTAGCTGATGAGTTAGATGTGCCAATCTTAGGCCCAGAGCCAGCTGTTTTTCAGCTCTGCAACTCCAAATCTGAAGGCAGGAAGATATTTGCTGGGGCAGAGATTCATGTACCACCTGGTCAAGGAGATGTGTACTCACTATGCCAGGTGAGGCGCCATTGGTTTTCTTCACCCTAACTTTTGTCTTGTATGTTATTTCAACTGTAATTCTGCAAAGTCTTTCATTTTCTCTCTTTTTCTAGCTACATGAAATACTAGCGGAGCTCATGTCTGAAAACATTACCGTGCAGCGCTGGCTCTTAAAGATAAACTCTGAGAACAGTGAACATGGTACAGCACATTGTGATGTTTGCCATATTAGAAGCTATAACTGGGCCCTGCAGCAGTATCATCGTTATGGTCCTGATCTATGGAACTCCAAATGGATTCAGGTAAAAATGGGACCTCAAGGCCTACATCTACCCCTCTTTGGCATAAAAAAAACGATCTCTCCTTATTGCACATTTCCTACACTTACATTCATGGTATGTGTTATTTAATTTGCTAGAATTTTGTTTTATATATTTTTTCCACACTTCTCGTTAAGATGATGTTGTTTTCTCACTGTTACGTTGTCTTTTATGGCACCCTCCAAAGCATTGGTTTTCCAAAAAGTAAATTACAAATTTTACTGGTTGTCTTTTTTAAATATTATTATCACACTTGTAGCAATGTGATATCTTCCATTTATTGTTAGGAAGGCAACAGCTGCATACTTATAAGATAACATTACAGTAACAGCTAAATGTTCAAATTGATATTCTGTTTTTTCTTCCAATAAAAACTCAAAGACGGATTACATCCACCTCTGCCAATAAATTCACAAAAGTGTTGGTCACTAGAGAGGCCATTGTTTAGCTAAGAGAAGGCTGTTTAAGTGTATCAGTCATAATTCTGGTGCCTGTAAACTTTATCCCTAGAGCCTCAGAGCATTGCATCTTTCCTTTCACAAACATCCCTCATCCATTCCAGAGAGTTTATGTATTGGGGACAACAAAAGAATGTAAAGTGATCGTAATACTCTAAGCAATCTGCTAGTGACAATTAAATCACACAGCAACCAGTCAACAAATAATTCCTTTTGTATATTAGATAATCATTGGATATGTCAGTGTCTCAAGATATCACACTGGTTTTATTGGACTTAAGAGTACACAGGAATGCTTGTCACTTTTATTAGTTATCTGTTGTTCCAGCATTGCAACACTTAGAATTACTTTGTGTATTACAGTCATTAGATGTGTTTCATCCTCAGCATCAACATTTTCTTTCTCCTCTAATAATACATTTAAATGAAATCTCAGATCTTTTCAGAACTATTTAGATGTCCTTAATCAGTGGTAAACCATTAATTTACTTCAGATGCAATCTGTACACAGCCTCCGAGCCCCTGGCTCTTATTTCTCATATACCTACAAAGTAGCCTTTGATTTTCTGTCATGTGTTAATTACCACATTTTGCCATTTAACTAGGAGCTTTGTGTAAACTAATTACAGGCTAATGATTGTGGGCTTGGAGCACAACGATTTTACTTTTTATTCCATTTGAAAGAACAGCAGTCATCCCAGGCTTCTTACGGCTCCCTCTGTTTTATTCCTATTAGCTTGTTCTTTGATTCATAGTGTATGCATGGTGCAGGGCTGTAATTGTTGCAGCTTTCGTATTGTTAATTATGGCAGAGAGTGGCTGAGCCACAGCCAAGGTCCATAATGGTGGCTGAGGCTGCAGAGGAAAGTAAATGGGGTTTCTTTCACCAGCTGGGGTCTCATGGAGAGGGAAGAGTGCCGAGGCCCCCAGTGTAGGCCGACAGCCTCGGGGCTTCTGGGCCATATGGACACAACACTTTAACTGGCCTTTATTCTACACCTTGCTCTTTTAATCAAACCAAAGCCCACATCGTGTGCTCTTCATTGTATGTTTTCTTGTCTTTTTGGTTTGGTTATAAGTTTGCTTTCTTCTAAAATATATTGAATGTATTACATTGTTATGCTCTCGCACTTGTTCCTGCTGAAGACAACAATTTGGCTCTTTGTGTTGAAGGATTACAGAACATTGTTGCTGATAAAATTCAAACATGAATATTTCATGTTAATGTAGCCTCTCGTTATCTTTTTGTCAGCAGAACCGTAGATGGATGTTTAAACTTGTTAGTATATTTTGAGATATGAAACTCATTAATGTTGCATTTTACTGAAACAAAGCGGTTCTAATTGCAGTGGTGACAAAACTAGTAAATATGATAGATAGCTACTTACACTGCTCAGCATTTTCCAGCATTTAAAGCCTCTGCTTTTAGACTTTAAGCGATGAAGTTAAAAAATAGTTTTAATTAGATTAATTATCAAGCAAACACAAATCATCACATAAAACATTTTAATATAAGTCCATGATTTACCTTTTTTTTACTGACATGATTGTTTACTAATAAATGAAATCATGCAGGTTGGTAAAAGTGAATATTATCAGATACATGTAACAATTCAGTGAATACGTCATATCTTTAATAATTATCATAAAATTTGAGAGGGCAAAAGAGAATATAATAGTCCATTTTTTAATTATTGCTTGTTCAGGAGGGCTGGGTATTAAAAAGCTCAGTTCATAAAGATACCATGTGGTCTTTCAGAATAGCACCAAGAAATCCCCTCTGGCTACGCCAAAAAAAAAAAAGCCTAAAAGGGTACAACAAAGAGGAGGGGGCATCACACCCATATAAATGGGAGCTTCCACAGAGGTCTAGGAAAACGTGTGTTTCTCTAAATATTGTGAGGCCCAGAGGTTCGAGCAAAATGTTTCAGCCTAAAGAAAGCCCCAAGGCCTCTTTTAGCATTTACACAGAGAGAGGTTAAAGACATGTAGATCTGCAACCATGCAATGCCTGAAGGGGGCCATACACACACTTAAGCGCTCACACAGCTTGCACATGGATCATTAGGCACAAGAGGGTAAAAATTACACCTAATAGCTTCAACAGATGGAGTATTTCTTTTTGTCATGCTGTGTACAAACAGATCTTGAGCAACACCTTATTTAGGTTAGGTTTGTCAACGAAATGGGTCATTTGATAATCACTACCACAGAAGAGATTGAGGGACATTTTATACAGATGTTTTCTGTCTAAATATTGTGCAGCCCGTGCCTGCATGGACGGGTCTAAATATCTGATGGTTTTCCTTAATAGATTTACCTTGACTCAAAGATTTTTAAAAATCTTATTTGACTGGTATATTCTTTCATTTCAAATTAAGGTCATATATACCATATTCAACATAACTACAGAAATACGGTTGAGTACTTTCAGATTCTTCTAGAATTATCAAAGTGAGATATCAACCTGGTTATCGTCAAATTTATAGTTATCTGTCGTTGACATTAGAGCTTTAATATTTGTTCAAAAAGCATTTTTATATTTTATACTATTATTTGCTAAGCCTAAACACATTGTGAGTCTCATTGTGCTTCTCTCCAATGGAGAAATAAAATGGCAATCAAAGTGGCAGGGCAGCATCTGTTTTATTTATGACCAGATTGCTCAGCTTTATGTGGACACCAAGCAAAGGCGGAATCCTATCACAGGGTAGCGTTCGCAGTTTAAGTCCAAATAATTTATTGTGGAATACCTCTCTTTCTTTTCTTGGTGTCCTGCTGTCTCTGTGAACTGCATAGGCAAAGTCCTGGGGTGAGCCTGCTCTTCCGTTGAGAATGACACCCGTTTCTTTACACTTTTTGCCGCACCATTGTGTGCTTTATGGTTTGTATAGGGGGAATCACTGTGCAGCATTTGACCTCTCCTCTTACAGTACTTGAATATGATGATGGCTGTTACATGACTGGAATATCAACAGCATAATCTCTGGTCTACCATCTCCAGTGAAGCCAGACAGCACACACTCAAAACAAAGTAATGCTCCAGATAGTATGAGGAGAAAGCAAAGATATTATCCCCATTCAGAATTTAGTAATCTCTTTTTACTGATTTCATTGATTTTATTTTAAATGGTCAAAATACATTTATTTGTAATGGTGGGACACTTCGATTATTAATCAATGTAGTTTTTGTCAGGTGTATTTCTATGATATTTTGGATATGCTAAAAAAATGACAGAAAAGGGCCTTTAATATTTTATAAAAGCAAGGATTACACTTTTGTTACTAAATAGTTTATTTTCTGGGATGTGTTGAGAAACAAAGCTAGAAATTAACAGCGTAATTAAGCAGCGAAACCATTATGGCATTTCGTAGTTACAGAAACAAGAGTGATATCGATCCCAGTCAAGCCCTGATTGATCCCCAGATAGATGGGGCTGGCTTAGGTATTCATCAGCTGCCCAGTGGATAGAGTTGTTATTGAGGGCAGCTGCTTCGAGGCTGTGAGCTAAAGCTATTAGACTCCTGAGGCCTTCTGATAATAGGCTGTCACTCACAGATAGACCCTACCGCAGTATCAATCAGACACTCACGCAGAAATTGAAGCAGCCACCAAGGTCTCAAGGATAACAAGCAGTCACTGGACTCATCCGGATAACACAGGCTGTTCAAGTAATGTAGTGGACACCTACAAAGCTGGTAAAGAAACTAGATGAACTAACTGAGTCGTGCTCATTTGAAAACATGTGTATGACTACAGATCTATTTACAGTTTGATTTACGGTAACATCTTATGTGTGCACTACACCTTTCTCTCTCTAGGAGCCCATTCTACTGAGATATTTAGATGAAATCCCAGAATGGTTGGCCCATTATGCCCAGCCCGCTAAAACCTCCCACTATCCCAGTTGGGCCTGCTTCCTGAAGACCTTCCTCAGGCAAGGTCAGACTTCTATTGTAAAACACTGAATGCTATCCACTTTTCAACTGCAGTCTCATGGAATATGTATTTCCTGTGTCCTTTCTATTTCCCAGATGTTGCCTTTGAGAACTGGGAAATTAAATAATTTTCATCTCACTTTCGGTGGTTGTTAATAAGCCCTTACTAGTAGTTATTGAGGAGCATATTTTGTGGAGTGTACCGTAGCCATTTTCCTGCTGTTCTTCCGTGTCTAGGTGGTGTAGTAGAAGCAAACCCCCCTTCAGAGAGCGTCACCTATCTGACAGTTGATATGCTGCTGGAGCCTGGGGCTGAGGTGACCATGCTGTCCTGTGGAGACCAGCTCCATGGCTCCTGTCAACTGGAAGCTATAGGCTCCACTGTTCCTCAGACCTCTGTTCACCCAGAGACGTTGCACTCCATCTGCACACGGGTGGGTCAGGCTGCTCTGAAGCGCTGTGTCGTTGGTCACGTCTCTGTGGGCTTTGCAACTTTTTTGGACCACAGGACCAAAGAGCAGAAGGTGAGACACACGTGGGTAAAGAAAAGACCTTGTTGAGACTGCTGGGATAAATATGGTCTTTACATACACACACACACACACACATATATATATATATGTGTGTGTGTGTGTGTGTGTGTGTGTGTGTGTACATATACTGCTCTCTTGGGATCTCAAAAACTAAACAAGGTAAACTGTGGGCACAGGGACCAAATGTGTCACAAGGCCATGTAATAAACTGTCAGGTCTTATTCTGTCGATACACTGATTCCACCCTTTAAAGCTTGCCCTTTAACCTTACAATACAGGAAAAATCAGAAGCACCCATCTTTCAGGTAATAGGTCATTCCAAAGTGATCTGACAGCTTGGAGGGGATACCCTGTCAGTGTTTAACCCCTCGGTCGTTACCTGCAGTGGTTCGCTCTAATGTATCACATTGTTTTAGCAGGACACCATGGAAGCCCTATCTGATTTGTCAGGATTGAGTTTTCCCAAAGCCTCATGATTTATGATATTTGAAATGGACTGGTTTATGATGGTTTAACCTCTGCTCCCAACATGTGACTACATTGACTGCCTATTGATCCGGAGCTGTAAAATGAAATTCTTTGTTTATAATCTGGTCTACACCGTAGCACAACTGGTGGGGAAAGCGCTGCAGCTACTATACAGATTTACAAAGGCATAAAAAAGCGAGGACACTGACTTTTCCTTTATTAAAAATGTGTCTGATAGCTTTATACCTGATGTTATGTGCCTGCTGGATTTTATTCAGATGAATGCAAAAATGTGTCCTTGTTTTCTTTAACTCCCCTTTTACAGTTGCATTTTTATTGTAGTTGAATTCATAATGCAATGCCACTATTAAAAATGGGTTTGGAACAGATACCACCTGAGGGCTTACTTGCCACTAGAGGGTAGTATCTTCTGTATTAGATGATAACACTTGATTTGAGTAAAGCAGTGTTGCAGCCACTATTTTTTCTTATGTTTTGAATCTGAAATTTTATTTTGAATTTTGCTATCATTCTTATTTGCTTTAAGACTCAAAATCTTGTCTGTTTTATTTTAATCAGCTGTTTTTACTTGCATTTTACTCATTTATATGACAATAGATTTATTATACAGTGAAAATATAGTTTTCTTTTTAATATAAAATCAAACTCAATTATCTTTTTCATTGACAAAATTTCGACTTTCAGGGCATTCCATTTATTATTTATTTGAGAAGAAGAAGCTGCCTCTTTTATCCTTTTCTTCAGTGTTTAGAATGAAATAAGGACTGCCTTAAAATTAATTTTCATCTCCAATGTTGATTCAAAATTGGAAGGGACTCACTGACGGCATAAATAAGAATAGACTATAAAACAGCAAATGCTTCAATGGAGGGAGGAACGTTAATGACAGATTCTTAACCATCTCCCCCACACACAAAGGTTGGGCTGGGAAGAGACACACAGACAAACCTGCCTGGATTTAAACATCAATTTAGATTCAAACCTGTTGCTAAAAGCTGCCTACTTTATTTGATGGGAAGAAGTGGGTCACATATGTTTGCCCTTGCAGTCTCTCCTCACATTGTGGAACGTTTGGGCCCCAGCTGCTGCATCAGGGTTTTTAATGAAAATGCAAGGCAATAGAAAACAGGTACAATCCAGGCTTACATTTCCCACGGCTTTGTTAAGAGCGACAATGGGACATGGGAGTATGAGTTTTAGGGAGTTGAGTGAATGGCTTGGTGGAGTGTGTCCATCACTCAGTCCAAGGTATCAACCTGATCCATAGAGGTTTGCATCTACCCGGTGGTGGCATTGGGATCTCTTACATTAAATGTGACTGAGCGAAGTTTGTCCTGCCGAGCAGTTGCTCAACATTGATGCAAAATGTACGGGTTTCAATATATATCTACATCTATGTAGATATAGATATGTATAGCATTTCTGCAAGCATTTTTATTTCAATGTTTCAATGCAGTTTAATGAGAACTTTTGGAAGAATTTTCTGTTTTTATGACAGTAAGCACTTTTTCAGGCTCTGAAATAACTAATGTTCTAACATTTTGTTGAAAAAAAAAACTCGATTATGAACATTCTTAACTGATTGCTAAGACTGCACTCTAAGTTTCACGATATGTTTAAATCTGACATGAAGCAAATTAAAGCCTTTTAGATATGTATGTTTAGGTGTCTACGTTCTGGTGGAGATAAAGTGCTAAAGTCACAAAGACTGCAGATTCAGAAAGGCAGCAATTTGCATTCGGTGGCAGGAGCGTTTACTTTGACAAATAGGAACAGCCAAAGCAGGCAGCCGACTGCCACTTAGTTATTAACAACTCCTTCACCAGTGATTTATTTGCCACCATTGAAGAAAGGGCATAGCTGTTAGGTTATTATCAGCAAAATTAGCCCTGTTTAAGCAGAAGGCTAAGGCCATACCTGACCCCTTAATATGCTTATAATGATGCCATTTACCACAAATATTTGATCTTTACATCTCACACTTGAATCAGGCAAATTAGCTGAAGGCAGACTGAATCCAAGTACACAAGGAGGTATCTGCTTTGTCCACGTGTCACTTTATACCTGAACTGCCTAAGTGTGTCCCACATGCACACATGTACTGACCTCTTCTTTAACAAAGTTTAGTGCCTGAAATGTTTGATGCTCTTCTTTTTTATTTCTTACATTTATGGTGTCCTCTTTCCACACGATCTCACACTGAGTTCATGATATCTTGTTGGCAGGTGTGGGCTGTTGATCTCAACATTGCATACAGTGACCAGCTGGCCATGACCCAGATGCTTCTAATGGTGACTGGAGGAACACTTAATTGTCGCACTGGCTGTTTAGAAATGCCGATGCAAGCCATGGAAAAAGGCTGCGAGCGCCAGGTTGCATCCAAAGTATGACTACCTTGTTTATAATTTCAGTATCCTGTGTCTTTCCAGTTTTTCTGCTGAAGTTTTGTGGTTAGGTGTTGCATGAAACAAGAAAGAAACAATCCTCTTCCATTCTATTCTGAGAGGCTAAACAATAGTTGCGCCACGATATTAATCAAAAAGATAGATCAATGTTTTTACTCCTCATTATTAGTAAATACAACTAAATACTGTAATTATGCACAGAACTCAATTGGTGTTTAGATGCTGAATTCATTATCATTTTGATAGATGAGCCTAACCCATTAATAATTCATACCATTTCCATTATGCATGTGTATGCAGGCTTGAACACCTCATCAACCTGGTGCCAGGCCTTAAACAATAGAGTTTTTTTATTAGCACTAAGCCTGAGTTTACGCTTGTTAATCTGCGACTTGTATTATTTTATCAAACATTCATTTAGCCGGTGGCCTGGTGCTTCACTGCGGCAGTTGAGCCACTGCAATTGTTAATGGCTTTAGCAGTGGCCATCATTAGGGACCTGCATATTACAAACACAATTAAATCCCTGCTGGACACTTTTATTGTTGTGTAAGGGCCGTGTATTTGACAAGCGCAAACACACAGCCTTCACAGCGAGTTATGGGCTATCTCCTGAGTTCACTGTGGCTTAGCTGTGCTCTATCTATCTCCCAAAGGGGGCTGACAAACCAGCCATGTTTTTATCCTCTTAAGCCCTGACACTTTTAAGTAATCAACCTCTTCTTATGATCAAAATCTCTTTCTTATTGTAAACTGTATTGTGTGCTGAGTTGTCCTTTTTGTGTTCTTAAACTCAACACAAACCTTTGCAAATGCCACCAGATTTCTTTGATGTTTTTTGGGTAACTTTTTAATGTTCTTAAACCCTGCTGTTAATTAAAAGAACCAGCAATTGACCTAATATGCCATGATGTTCACTAATCCCACTCACAAACTAAACAGTTACTCAAAGGATGTTTATGGGTTTTAAACGTCTCTACTTTATCCTTTCTATTCTATACAAACCATCTTTTATACCAAACACAACATCTATTTTCTTGGTTTTGATCAGCTGAAAGACTCATGTCTGTAATAATCACATTCAGATTCTCTACTTCTCTCCTTTCCCTTTTTTTCTTTCAGCCTCCAGTGGTTAACTGTTATGCAGTCATTGGGACCCACTTACATCACTCTAACCTCTCCATGCTATACCACAGTGTCTTTTTTAAGATGTGCCACATTAATGGAATTGGATTTAACAAGAAGGTAAAGATTCAGAGTTTTCATGTTTACTCTGCCAGCTTCTCTTTTTTAAAACCAGAACTTGTGGTGTGATTATATCACAGTTTTATAATGTGTGTAATAGCAACATTGTGTTGATTTTTCATTCTGCTGAGTTGATTATAGTAAGTTCTGGTATGAGCATTCCAAGACCTAAATTCATTACCACAAACTACCACAACAGAACTATTAAGTTAGGTGTAAATCTATATTAAAGTCAAGTTTTTTTTTTACTTTAGTTGAAGATTGTTTTTAGCTCAAGTTAATGTGACTATGAGATTGGGAAAAATCAGGACTGAAAGCTGGCTTGGGTGTCTTTACAGCTTCACCTCTTATTCAACTGCATTGTCTCTTTTGAGATCAATAAATATCCATTCATTTTTTTCAGCGGAAGCAGGGCACTGTTTTTGCTCTCTATGACAGCAGGGACCGATGCAGAATTGGAATGATGTAAGTAGGTGTTGTTGCATCAATACAGGCCCTTTAGACATTTCTGCTTGGAAAGTACCCAAATGCATGATCTGGCCCTGTAGACTCAAATCAACAGAGGCAATGTTCTCCAACATACAAACAATTCTAAGCTTTAGTTTCCAGAAAAAAAGGGAAATGAACAGTGCCTTTGAATAATGACAGCAGGCCTTTGAATTAACACGAGGTTTATATTCCTTTGACTGTAGCCTCACCGGTCCAATTAAGAGGACACAGGTCAGATATGCACAGCTGTCCCTTTTTAAACCATTCACCCTGATACAACTCCCTAATCTCAAACATTTAATTGTATGAACTACATAGAGCCATTCCAGGGTATGCATTCCTTTTATTTAAAGTTTTTTCTTATATTAGCATTATTTTATTTGTCAGGGGTTTTACTTGTTGTTTTTATTAGAACCCTGGTTCTACTGAGCTCCAGCTCTCAGAGAACTACTCTGACATTCAAAGTGGTTATATTTAAATAATGTTTAATTAATTTCTCTATAGATATATCCTTCTTCAACCAGTGCTGTGACGAATAACAGTTCTATCATCTGCTTCCCTTTCCTGTCACTCTATGTTCAAAGTATCTGAAAAAACTGCAGATTTTTAGGTGGTTAGAAAACAACACCGGAAATTTTAAAAAAGTTATTTCACAGATCAAGATGTCACCTCTGGCTTTGTAAATGCTAGAAACTCTCCAAATTGTTAGGGCAGGGGGCTATTTAATATATTCATCACTGAAAGCTTTTAGATTACACAGAGCTGTAACAGTTAAATCACGCTGGGCTTGTCTCCCTCTAGACTGAAGATGCTATCTGCTGAAAGTTTCATTTACCCACCAGCATCAGATGAACAAGTTGATTGTTTCTTAGCTGGCAACATGGGGATCATTAGTAAACTCGTTTGTTTGGGATGTCGTTAATAGCACAGTCTCAGAAGATCTCCAGGGAGCTCTAGTGACCTTTGCTCAGAATCTGTCAGTGATTCATCAGGAAATATCATCCTCTAAAACACAAGGAGAAACCAATTTTAAGGTAAAATCTTTACAACTTAACGATTTCTTCTGATCTGTATCACAAAATTTACAGATGAAGTGGAGTTGCTAAAAAGTATATGTTGAAGAAACTGAAATCATTCAATAATGATAATTGAGATATGAAAGATGCCACAAATTAATTTTTTGATTAAACTACATTTTATATGGATTTTATTATATGACATTTTCTACATGTAATATATGTGAATTCTTTTCTTTTTTTGTTTGGAGGACTTGATCAAGAACATCAATGATGTGCTGAAGATGACTGTTCAGAACAAGAAGCAACTGAGGGAGAAACCTACTGTTTAAGTAGTTAGTTGGCCAATGAACATATCAGGAGTTCACCTCATATAAAGCTATGAATGTGTGGACCATAAAGATGCAAATAGACTAAATATTGTGTCCTTAATAAAACTTAAGGGGAAAGAAAGAGTTTAGTTTCTGTACTATTGTAGAGCTCAAAATTGTTGTTTAATCTGTGCCTTTCCCTGATCATTATGGGGAATCCTCCTATGCTGCCTACTGATGCTAAACATGAGATCATCAGCTTATAGTTGCTGCCGGGCTGCAAGCACAAAATACCAACGTGTTCCTGTTGATCTTTTGACTTTCAAGCCACTCCTCTTTCTGATACATTTCCGTCCATCCATCAGCCGGGAGCCTATCCTGGCTGTAAGATAGGTTGGGTACACCCTAGAAAGGTCCCCAAGCTATTACAGTTCTATGTAGGGACAAACAAAATAAATAATCATACACTCTCACGCTCATTCCCCAGGTTCACTTATAATCCCAATTTATTATTAAATGTATATTGTGGCGCAGTGGGAGGAACATGGCGTGTATAAAGAGAATGCGTGCATTTATCCACATGGAAAACGTGCAAACTCGACTCAGAAAGGCTCTTGTCGAGAGTCAGACCTTATTGCTGCATGGCACATCTATAACCACTTCAACACCAGGCTGCTCTCTGATATGCTTCCATTTTTGTTCTTATGTTTCATTTTGTTCTGTCCTTTAATTATTTACTCTTTTTTTCATATACGTTTGTACTGCAACTGTACATATTTACAGCAATTGAATAAAAAGGTATGTATTGCTTTGGTTGGTCAATACAATAAGTTATAAAACGAACTGCTGTTTTATTCTCAAAGGACTTCACTACACACTTTTAGAAAGTGAAATCTATTTTTATATACGTGAAACTCCACTGCCTATTCTAATTTTGTGCTTTAATACAGGATTTACCATATACAAATCATATAAGGTATAAGCATATTGCGGATTTGAAAATGTTTTCATGATAAAGCTGCCATTCAATTAAAATGGGAGAACATTTGACATAAATCAAATCAATGTGGCACAAGTCAGATGGGGAGGAACAAAGATCTGAGCTGTGTTTCTAACCGGAAGACTTCAGACGGACCATCAGGTCAGAGCAATAAACAAAACACAACCACAGCTTACACAAGTTAACAATATCTGTATTGCCAGAGCTGAATTGTTGGACATATGTCGTTTATAAGGTCTACGTATTTGTTTAGACACTTAACCATGTGGTTTATATTATCAGCGTCCAATCAACTTCTAACATAGCGGGTTTGAGCTAGTTTAGCTAACCTTAGCAGAGGTACACCAGCTCTTGTCTGCTCCTGTAGTGAAATGTCCTCCACAAGTTGGTGAAACATGGTGTGGCACATCTTGGGCTAACCGGAGCCCTTTTCAGTGACCTGCACGCAGGAGTGAATACTTCTGCTCACTGCAGAAGCCATGAAAAAGGTTTTGAGGAAGATTCACAGCATCTTCATAAAGATTGCTCTGTTTCCGAGCACCTATGGAAGGTCTTTTCCGCGGCCAGCGGCTTCGGAGGTGTTAACCTGCCACCTGCTCCAGAGAAAACTCCCACCCTGGACCTCCTTCTGTGTCCGCTACAGCACCGTCCACAATGACCAGTTCGGACTGTCCAATTTTAACTGGAGAGTTGAGGGGTCCAACTACCAGATACTGAGAACAGGCTGCTTCCCGTTTGTGAAATACCACTGCACCAAAGCACCGGCCCAAAACCTGGACTTTGAGGACAAGTTTTTCACCTTGTTGAAATTGATTAATTTGGGTCAGTATTTAAGATGCAGTTGATTTTTTTTCTCTTCATTTAAAGTTTAAATAAAGTATTTATCCGTGGCCGGTGTGTTGCAGGTATCCCTTGCTTGGCCTATGGCATTGGGTGCTGGATGGTGGTGGGCGCTTCAGAAACAGTACAGACCAGTGTTGGACCGGTCACTGTCTATTTCGCCTACAAAGAAGAAGAAGGTGCACAGTACTAAAGAAATAAAATGGACCACTTTGAACTAAAGAGGACATTTTCTCCCACACAGCTGTTTTTATAGCATCAGTCTCTGTGCCGTCCACTGACACCGGGGCTCTTGTATGACTGTATGTTAAATTATTAAATATTTAAGGTGAACTAAAACAGCTGTCTCCATGTTTCATTGTTTTAGTATGTGCAGCTGATTGAGTGTTTTTAGGTAAACAAACTTTTAGCTTATGTAGATCCCACACACTTTAAATGATTATCAGCTTATTGGTAAGTTAGTTTTAATGATAGATTAACAGTATACCAATTAACAGTTGTACAGTGGATATTAAACAATGCAAAGTCACTTTATTTATGATTGTGCTCGAGAATTCCAAAACTCACTTCATAAAAAAAGTCACATACTTTGGACAGAAGACGCTCAGGGTACTTGTTTGTGGGAGAGTTGATGTAATGCTGTCATGTCTTTACCTCATTTTGTGAAAAATACAGGAATCTAAATGACCCCACTGTTTATTCATTTAAAGTTGAACTAGTGATCACCCTCTTTTTAACAGATTGTCAATAATGTTGAAGAAACAACAGTGGCAAGACAGGTGATAAAATGGCTTTTAATTACCAAAATGCAGCCTTTGTTGGGAGACGTGTACATCCCTTCCTTCAGGCCCTCACTGGCCTTTGATTTCTGGTAATGCGCTCTGCTGACAGGGCAGGCTTAACTCTGCGGCAGAGTTCTGCTCCCTCTGAGAGGTAGGTTGACAAACTGCCATATTGATTTCTCCCCTCAGCGTCTCCTGCTAATAGCATTTATCAGCGACCCCAATTTTCAGGCCTTGGCCTCTTCATTTTTTAGCACAATGAAACTGAACGAATAATTTCTTGTTGTACATGGAAATCAATGCACCTTTTGACCCTCTGTGCAGAGGAAGGATGCATTATCCACAGACATGCTGTTCACATGTCCTGTTTTTTCTAGATCTTGCTCATTGTACACATGAATATTTAACCAAACCATTACTGGCCTAACCTTGCTCCTACCACAATCAGTTGCTAACATGAAAGGAAAACTGTTAAAAGAAGGAAAGCATTTAATTACTGAAACTGAATGTACAGTTGCACACAAAGCCACACTTGTAAAAAGGAGCACATGCTGAAATACTTTTTAATGTAAGCAACATAGTCTTTGCTGTATCTGAAATGTCTCAACTTCATGCAAAATACATTTGAAAAATCCACTTAAACAGCACGGTGACACCAGACTATCGCTTTAATCATGCTAATTGCCTTGAACAAGAACCATTTAGACACACTTGCAGACATCTGATCCTTGGTATCAGACTGCACTTAAATCCCCCTTCTTTCATTTCCATCCTTTCATCAGGACTGAAAGTGTGCATGGGGAATGCTCAGGCAACCATGTCTTAATTACTCATTGACCCTTTGACCCATGAGCTGCATTGATAGCACCTCACAGACTGACACAGTTGCATGGGGTTGCAACTGACTGCAGCTTTGTCTGCGGCTTTTAAAGGATGATGTGAAATCCAAACTGTGGAGCATGTGAGTACATTGTATTTGTTTTCAGGGCTTCACCTCTGAGTCACTCTAAACTACAGGGGAGGGCGCCCCTTCAGCTTGGGCAGAGGCTCAGCATTACATAATGAACCTTAGTCACTGCCTCTGCAGGTCTAGAGTATCTGGACCGCAAATGGAATTCTATAAATTACCAAAACATGTCTGTGTTTACAGGGAGATTGATGCTTTTTAATAGTCTGCTCCTATATTGAAGTGTTTAAATTGCCGACTGCACATCTTCTGTGGTAATGAGCAAACAATTAATGCCAGTTTGGCACATTTAATTGCATGCCAGAGCTGGTAATAAGTTTGTTCAAGGTGAAATCTTTAAATACTTGTACTGCTTAGAGTTTAGGTAAGTAAAGCAAAACAAGTGCTGAAATTGAGTGTGTTGTTTCTTTAAATTGTTAATGTTCAGCAGTGAAATTGCTAATCTGCTTACATAGACTTGTAATTATCTTCTAATTAGCTAATAAGTTCTCCATTTTATCGGTTTAAAAAAAAAAAACATAGAGCAAACTGCGTTCATTTCCTTGGAATAGCTTTGTGAATCAATTATTTAAGCGGGAGAGTCACACAGCATTTTCTCTGTCATATGGATATATGGCTTGGCAGAAACAATTATTGTGTGAACGGCCCCCGCAGCTAGCGCGGGTAAGGTTATCATTCTAACGCCTGCGGATTGGCCAGCAGCCTCATCTCCACGCCCGCACCTCCATCAGCGGGGGTACCTGAGCCATCACTCACATCCCTTTATAGGGATCATGCTAGAATTAGATCTTGATGCTGAAACGTCAGACAACCCTGTCACAATATTTACTGTGAATTGGCACATTTTGAATTATAATGTGACGACTAAAACCTAAAACTCATTACTTATGACTCCGTTTGCAGACACGCGCACGTTCAGCTTGGCTTTTAAAGGGTAGTGCTGTACAGACGTTTTCAAATTAATAAAAGAAAAATGGTGTCTGAAATGTCTTGACTGCTTGTCAGTAAGGTTTGAAACTCTGCTTTTTCGTTTTTCTGTGTCAAGTGGATAACCATTAAGAATCTATTACAGTATGTTTCTTCACCCCAGGGATGACATTGGGCACCATTTTTCTTTTTATTTCCCCTCGACAACCTCTTTTCTATATATGTGTGTAGCAGAGGGGTGGGGGGGAGGGGGGGGGGATGTTGAAAGATGATGCCCCCTGTGCCAGTGCTGCCATAGATATTGTTTTATCAGTGGGTGGCTGAAATGTCTGTCAGTCAGTTCTGGCTTTTTCTTAGTCAAAGACACCTCCAGCTGACATTAAGAGTAAGCTACAACTTAAAAACAAATACAGAAAACAGAAAATCTCTTTAGAATTGATTGTCCTGTTTAAGATCTGGTTATATTTTAATATGTCATTGTCTCTGCATATACTGTGTTAAGTCAATGGCCGTGAGCCTATGCACTTATCTTTGAACCTTTTTTTCTTGCAGTTGATTATTATTTTGCTTTTTTGTCTTCTTGATGATGTTATACTACAGTCCCTTCATACTTAATGCTTACTCTGTTGACATTAAGAGAGAAATGGATTCTAATAGTTTTTTGTAGTAGAGTGAAATGAACTATCCATTTTTATTATATATTATGCAGTATTTAAAGTTTCAGCTCATTAAAAAACAGACGCCCTCCACACCCCTCCAGGCTGTCTTTTACCCCCCACCAGCATGCAGTCAGGCTCCTCTAGCCACAGGCTCTGCTTGATCTGTTTTCCCCAAGTCAAAAATTGAAATATTCAGAAATATTTATTTATTTGTTTATGCATTTTGTCTCGCTGAAGAATAGCATAATGTCCTTTTAGCTTAAACAAGCGGCATCACTGGATCTGAAAAAGGGAGCAATGTATGGCTCAGTTTGTCAAATATAATTTGCAACATTGCTTTTCTGTTGAACATAAAGTCTTCCACTGTATTTACAAACAACTTGTGTACATTGAAAGGGAACACTACTGTTTTTAAGCAAAAATGTATACAAAAATAAAAACTAAAGACTTTAAACTAGTACTAATTTAGAAGTTTTATACCCATTTACTATCCTTAGTTGTGTTATTCATTTTCATAAAGTAAAATTGACGGATGAGCCAGTTTAGCACTTTTAGCACTTTGTTGTAATTTTTGGGACCTTATCTGTCTGCCCTCATCTGACCTGCTCCATAGAAGACAATGTCTAGATGGCAGCTGATGTCGCTCCTGGTAAAATGTCCATGACAGAGCCTCGCCTCCAGTTACAACTATTATGAATGAAACATAATTAATTGACCATTTTTAGTATATATATATATATATATATATGTATGTATAATCTGTTTTTCTGTTTCCCTTGCAAATGTTGATGATACAGCAAGACATATGTTGGTCCAGCTCATGACTGGTTGACTGGTTAACCTCACAAGTTGTGGGATCTTAAACCAGATGGTTTGTTCAAGTCTCATATTTATATATTTTAAGTGTTTTTCACATTTATTTTTTTCAGCATTTTATGTGTTTTCTGTAATAATTCATATGCGTTTATTATTATTTATTTATATTTATTATCATTATTATATTATCAAATAATTAAATCAACGCAAATAATTTTGCTTAGCATTCCAAATTATTCGGAAACTGCTTTGTCCATCACATATAAAGAAAAACTGCATATACGTTCATTTTACACCCGACAGCCCTCTTTCTGTGTTATTCAATCACCCCGCTTCTTACTTGCACAATAAGCAGATACCTACACAGCAACTCAATGCTAGATTTGGGATTTATATTAAATACATCGATAGTGATGCTGCATGCAAACATAGAATCGGAATAAATCAATTTTGCTCTCAGAAATGTTCCGCATGCTTTTTGATGCAGCTTGATCTCCAATCTTTCTGCAAATGAGCTGCGGTGCCTTGTAATGGTTTCTGCTCCTCGCGGGAGACCCGCGTCTCAGAAAAGCTGCTGATTGAGGGAGAAATGTAATACAGGTGTAAAGCAGACTTGATAGGGGTCTTACATGAGGGTTATGCATTTTAACAGTGATATACATACTGTTACATATTTATCAAAGAATATGGAATTTGCTGGGTTGACTCTTTCTGGCCTTCAGGGATTTGTAGGTTTCTGCTAGAGTGTTGCTAATTCTGCTGGAGAGGTTGGCTATTATGTTGAATTAATAGGAATTAAGGGTTTAAATTGGTTAAGTAAGCACTTCATTAATCGTGAGTGGATTGCTGCGTATGAGGGGGTTTATAGGAGGTTAGACCACTAGTGCGGGTAGAATGAAGCGATCTGTGTTAAGAGAGTCGGTTGATGCTTGCTGTGAAGAAAAAGACTAAATTAAGTATATGCTGTACAGGTGAAATGATTTAACCTTTTTGGAAGAAAGGAAACAGATCGTCAATAACAAATGACTTCACTCTTTATCAAGTAATTATATCATAAAAACACAATTTCCAAAGCTGTGGCGTTGTGGCTGAAGGTCCTCTCTGCATATAATCTTTCTATACATTTCTATACATTGAAAGTTTAGATTTAGATAATGTTCCTGGTAAGTGGTGAAGGCGTTTAGC